TTAATTTGTATTATATGCAATTTCCTTCAATCTATTTTATTTTAGAAAGTTAAATGAAATATATTTGTGTGTGCATGTATGTGCATATACAAACAATATTGTATCAGTATCGGAAGATAAATGCTAAAATGTGAACAGTGATTATCGTTGGCTGGTAAGACTGAATGATTTGAAAGTCTTCTTTATGTTTGACTGTATTATATAAATATTTACAATTGTTCATACGGTACCCTTGTTTAGTTAAAAATATGGGGCCATCAACTGCAACTACCACATGAAGAATAAAAAAGGTAAATGCTAAAACTTCATAAAAGGAGATGACAGCTTTGGACTGAAATATTCAGGAAAGCATTATGGAGGAGCTAGGCTATGAATGATGGTAGAATTGTGATAGTTGAAGACAATGGAGGAAATTTGGCTGCACGTATCACCTTTCAATCAGCACAAAGCAACCCTACAGGTTACCTCCGTCCACGACAGACATAAGCCATAGGCCCCTCAAGAGCTCGAACACTATTTTCCCAGAACACACGTTGTTAACCCCTCCTTTTTTCTATTGCCATCTGGCCTCAACGTCTTGCCCTTGTCCCGTGTTTGTAATTCTATAAATGGTTTTCGAACTTGGCTTTTGCAATCAGTTTTTCCTCTTTGGCTTCTGCTCTTTTTCAAGGACATGGACTCAAATGCTCCCCTCAACCCACATGCAGTACCAAATCTAAACACAATCAGGCCCTAGGACCCACAGCTCTCCTCTAGTGCTAACTAGCCCCACAGTAGGGTCCAGAAACAGGAAATGGCATGACCAAGTTTGTAATGTATAAGGTGTGCTTAGAAATCAGTGTCAGAATTCAGAGAGGGTACAACAAGGAAAATTGAGGACAAAAGCAGATTCACACTGTGAAAAACCTGAAAAGCCACTGTATTAGTTTTCCTGTTGCTATATTGTATAGCTACAAATGTAGTAGCTCAAAACAACAGAGACTTGTTCTACAGATCACGAGTCTGATACGGCTGGGCTAAAATACAGGTATTAGCAAGTTGTGTTTCTTTTGGGGTCTCTAAACAAGATCTATTTCCTTGCCTTTCCAGGTTCTAAAGACCGCCCACATTCCTTGGCTCATGGCCCCCTTCACTCTTTAAGGCCAGCGATGGCCAGTAGAGTCCCACATCACGTAAGTCTGGTTAACTTTTCTTCTGCCATTCTCTTTCACTTTTAATGACTCTTGTATTACATTGGGCCCACTCAGGTAATCTGGGATAATCTTCCTATTTTAAAGTCAGCTGATTAAAAACTTTAATTCTGTCTGCTCTCTTAATTCTACCTTGCCATGTAATATAACACACTCACAGATGCAGACATCTTTGGGCATTGTTCCTCCTACCACAGACAGATTAAAGATGTGATATTGTCTTCTAAATAACAAGGAAAATATTTAAGAGTTTAAATATGTGACAATGTAAAGGGAAAATTAAGGTACATAAAATGCAGTTTGGCTTATTTCATTACCAGAAAGTTAAATATTGCATCTTTAAATGATTGGGTTCTAACTCATCTCATCAGAAGATCCATGTCCACTTTTTGCAACTCTGTTTTAATAAAGGAAATTGGGGTTATAGAGATCTAAAAGTGGCAAATTGCACACTAGGTTGACTAAAAGCTACAGAATTATCTGATGAGGCCAATGCTTTTTTGTTTTTAACCTCCTAGGCTCAAATATTCTGTGTTCATACACAGAATGATGCTTTCATTTGTAGCAGATGGTAGTAGATTTGACTCAACTTATCTCAATTCTCCATCATACTATTTTTCTCCATCTTCCCATGACTTTCTGCCACCCCCCCAAAATTAATTTCAGACAGGCCTTTGTGCTTTGGCTGACATTCAAAACTGTCACCTCCACGTACACATTAACTCCAAGGCCTCTGTCATTCCTCACATTAAAATTCTATCACCAGGAGTCAGCACAGCTTGACTCAGCAAGCTAAGGGGCTGGTTCTGAGCAAGATGCAGTGACAGCAGGCTTCATGTGTGACAACCCCGGTCAATTTGACAGCAATAAGACACCCTCCTTAGAACCAGTTGCAGCTCTTGTTGACCCAAGTGGGAAGGTTATTCTTCTGAGCGATTCTCTTCCCTTCCCATGAGAAAGAAAGGCCAGGGGTTACAAGACAAAGGTTATGAATATTTTATCGTAAAATAACCACAACAGTGAAGAACAATTAATAAATTCCAAAATCTAGGTTTACATACTAATTGGGAAGGATAACCATTTGTTGACATAAGAGCAGCTCTTTAAAATGACACAGCCCAAGAAATTATAGCCACAGTGTAGGCAACAGGCCATTGGCAATTCTGTGTAGAATCTGTGTATGAAAACTGATTTTGAAGTCCACCCAGAGAGCCTTCTTTAGTTTATAAATGATGTTGAGAGGTAAAATGTTTTTCCAGTGGTCAGACTATTAATCACCACCAAAGCAACTTGTTGCTTTCCCTATCCTCTGCAAACCTGCTCTTTTTCAAGCAGTCCATTTCAGTGGGTTGTACAGTGTCATTATCTGTGATTGGGGAAAGAAGTAAATGATGATAATAGTTTAAGCATTATTCACTCACTCACCTTTTCAGACTAAGCTAAAACACCCACAATTTTAAACATGACACAAAACAAAAGGATTCATTTCAAAATTCACTTCCTCTATGAAGTCTTTTATGATCTCTTCCCATGCCCCAGAAGACTCACGTGTCTCACTCTTATGTGCCATCACTGTAGTCTTTTTCCTTAATTCCATTCAATTTTGTCACATGTAAAACATGTAATTTAAAAGTCAAAACCACATGAACATATACTTAGACAACTTTTCTCTCTATCTTTGTCACCCTACCCCCCCATTCCTCCTGCCTCCTATAGCAAATTATTTCTATCCATCTCTGTTTATTCTTGCCCACCATAGTTTTTAGATACCTCAATCATAAAAGCTGTATTCTTTAGGTACTGGTACAAAAGGCCTGGACTCCCAGCCAAATCCCACGCTTGTGCCTGGAACCGTGGACTTAAGTGAAAACAGCTGACCCTGTTTTTCCACCCTCATGTTGCCTTTTTGGCCTGATCTACCCCTACCCTGTGCCCATAAAAGACTCCAGCTGGCAGAGCAACACAAGCAGCTGAACGTCAAGGATACAAGTGGCTGAATGGCAAGCAGAGAAGCAACTGAGCACCAGAGACTATGGATAGAAGAGGCTAACTGCAGATGGTGTGGCTTCTGAGAGGGGCCCAGCGGGAGAACGCCGGGCTTCAGGGAAAGATCATCTTCCCATCCCCTTTCCAGCCTCCATTTCCACTGAGCTAAATAAAGTCTTCTGCATTCATCACCTTTCAAATAGTCCATGTGACCTGCTTCTTTCTGGATGCTGTACAAGAACCGAGAGGGCAGGGGTTTGCCACCTTGACCCTCCACTGAACTGGCTGGCACTTGGCCATCCCCGGACGGCAGAGCTGAAAGAGCATGGCCGTACACGCCTGGATGCTGCTGTGGGGCCTGCACAGAGTCTGCTCCCACCAGACAGTAGCCACAGGCTGGTTCTAGTGTTAGTTTCCCTCCGGTTCCCACACTCTCTCACTCGCTCCCTCCCTGCCTCCTGCTTCAGCGGAGGGATGAATGAAATGAGCCACTCCAGTGTCTGCCTGCGAAGGGGATCAAGGGAATTATCCCATCTTAGTACCTTATGAGAGACATGGTTGTCTCTCCCATGAAATTGAAAATCTCCTGATAGTAGAAAGAATTCCCAAAGTGCTGGGATTACAGGCATGTGCCACCATGCCCCATGGGTTTTCATTCTTAAGTAACTGTCACACCAAAACATCACAATGTCTGTCATTTAGGAGGAAAGTGGGAGAGACAGACTCAAGAAGAAAGTAAGCTTAGACTCTGCAGAAGTGGAGCTGGGCTCTGCATTCTTGAGGAATGAGGCTGAACTTAGGCCAAGTCACTGACAATCCCTGAACCTGCTTCATTGTTTGTAAAATCTGCTTGGTAATAAAGCACACATCACCGAAGGTTTGTGAAAATTAAATTGGATAATCTATAAAAAGAAGGTCCAAGCTTTATTCCCACATTTAGAATGGTTAAACATTATTCTGTTTTTAACATAATAGGCATGCTACATTTGTTGAGATCAAGTATGGGTTATTTTGAACTCTTTCACCTGATAGAACACTCTTCAATCATAAGAGCAGGTTGGCTATAGAAAACTGTTCCAGAGCTGTCTCTAGCTGCCTTTTAGCTTGGTTTTCTCTTTAATAGAGATTTTGAGTGGAAGACATCACAAAATCATCATTGAAGGGGAGATGAGGGTAGAGAGTAATATAAGGGAGAAAGAACTGGGAGGTAAGAAAAAAAAAGATCATCAAGTTCAAGTACTGTTATCCCAGATCCGATTTCCCTCAGACCCTGTTCACGGCCATCCCAGCTTTCTGGCACTTAATATCACTAAAGTTGCTATTGAAACATCTGATACCATTCCAAACTTGGTGTGTCAACAGAAGACTAGCCAAATATACAGATAAGTAGTGAAAGACAATATTTAGGAGAAACTTCAGCATAAGATAGAGAAAGCAGGTGTAGACTTGAGTGAGTCCATTTCAACAAGAAGATCTGCTCTGGCACATGGCAGCTAGTTGCCAAGAGAGGGTCACCATGAAAGAAATGAAAGCAGTGAGAAGATTTCTCTTTTACGATAATAACAAACGCTGTTTCTTTAACACTTCAAAATTCACAAAGAGATTTCACGTGCATTATCTCATGTGATGCAGTGATGCAGGTCAGAAAGCTTAAGGGATTTCAAGAAGCTCATGTAACCCTTAAGTGATAGAACCAGGATTTGAATGAAGCCTTTTTGACACTAATTTGAAGCTTTAAATCCAGAGCTGCAGTGACAGGACTAGCAGACCCAATTGTCTGGGGTGATACTTCCTTCTCTCTGCCTCATTGGGGGAATATCCTCCTCCATTTAGGTTTTGTGCTGCTGCATCCATTGCCTGAAACCCCCTACCTCACCTTTTTAGCCTCTATGAATCCCAACTAGTCCTAGACCACTTTTTAAAAAATATTACGACTTTTATAAAATTTATATTTTCACAGCAGTTTAGCTTTATGGAAAAAAATTCATCAGACTATTCAGAGAGTTTGCACACATCTTGTCCCCACCATTTTCCTATTATTTATATCTTGTATTAATGTGGTACATTTGTTAAAATTGATGAATCAACATTGATGCATTATTAGAAACTAAAATACTTGGTTTACAATAGTGTTCCATCAATACAACGTACAACAGCATTGCACATTCCGTAGGTTTTGACATGCATCCATCGTGACTGTATCACACAGAATAGTTTCATTGTCCTAAAAATACCCGGAGCTTCTCCTGTTTGTCCCTCCTTCCTATCTCCTTAACCCCTGGAAACCACTGATCTTTTTAGTCTCAATAGTTTTGACTTTTCCTTTGTCATATAGTTGGACTTATACAGCATGCAGTCTTTACAGATTGGCTTCTTTCACTTAGAAATATGTGTTTAAGGATTGTCTGGGAGGGAGGATCCAAGATGGCCGTTTAGGAACAGCTCAGGATTGCAGCTCCCAGTGAAAGCGCAGAGGGTGAGTGGACGCCGCGTTTTCATTGCCCACAGACTAGGAAATTCCTGGGCGGAGAAGCTCCACGGTCGCCAGGGCGGCTGTTTCAGCCAGCGTCCAGCTTTGCCCCGCGCAGCTGCCTTGTCGGCACCCCGGAGCCGCGGTTCTCCGTACAAAATACACCCGTCCGGGGGCCCTTTTGGCTGGTGATTGGAGCCACGGGAAGTCGCCCATTCGCCGGTTCAAAAAGGGGACTGAGCAGAGAACCAGGA